AAGCTTTTGTCTGATATAGTTGCAAGTGTTTATTTTTGCTTTTATTGCCCTTGTCTCACACAGATCCAAAAAAATACTGCTAACACCAATATCCAAGAGGTTCCTGTTTTCTTTTAAGAATTTTATGGTTTCAGGTCTTACATTTAGGTCTTTAATCCATTTTGAGTTTATTTTTTGTATGTGGTATAGGAAAGCAGTTCAGTTTCCCCAACACCATTAACTGAAGAGACTATCTTTTCTCCATTGTATATTCTGGCCTCCTTTGCCATAGATTAATGGACCATAGAAGTGTGGATTTATTTCCAGGCTTTCTATTCTGTTCCATTGATCTATGTTTTTGTGCCAGTACCATACTGTTTTGATTACTATAGCTTTGTAGTATAGTTTGAAATCTGCGAGCATGATACCATCAGCTTTGTTCTTTCTCAAAATTGCTTTGACTACTTGGGGGCTTTGCGGTTCTGTACAAATTCTAAGATTATTCGTTCTAGTTCTGTAAGAAAATGCTTGTGGTATTTTGATTAGGATGCACTGAATCTGTACATTGATTTGGGTAGTATGAACATTTTAACAATATTCTTCAAATCCATGAACACAGTGTATCTTTCCCTTTATTCTGTCATCTTCAATTTCCTTCATCAAAGTCTTATAATTTTCAGAGTACAGGTCTTTTACCTCCTTGGTTAAATTTATTCCTAGGTATTTTATCCTTCTTGATGCAACTATAAAAGGAATTGTTTTCTTCATATCACCTTCTGCTTGCTTGGTATTAGTGTACAGTAACCCAACAGATTTCTATATATTAATTTTGTATCCTGCAACATTACTGAATTCATTAGTTTTTTTTTTAAGAGTTATTTGTCAGAGAGAGAGAGAGAGAGAGAGCAAGCACAAGCAGCGGGGAGAAGCAGGAAGAGGGAGAAGCAGGCTTCCCGCTGAGCAAGGAGCCCCATGTGGGGCTCAATCCCAAGACCTGGGATCATGACCTGAGCCGAAGGCAGACACTTAACCGACTGAACTACTCAGGGCGTCCCTGAAGTCATTTATTAGTTTTAATAGTTTTTTGGTTTTAGAGTTTTCTATGTATAGCATTATTTCATCTGCAAACTGAGTACTTCTTCCTTACCAATCTGGATGCCTTTTATTAATCCTTTTCTTGTCTGGTGTGTCTGTATGAGGAGGTGAGCTCAAGATCCTCCTACTCTGCCATACTGACTGGGATCTCTCCTTTGTTTTATTTCAGATGTCTCCCGAGAGTCTATGTTTATGGCCCTCCACTAATTGAGATAGGCTGGCTACTATTAAGTATCATCTCTTGGTGAGCCAGAGAGGGAAAAAGGGATCAGCACTGGCTTTTCTTTGCCTTTTTACAAAGGGATGATGATTTGAATACGGTGACCCTAATTTCCCTTGGCCCTTCCAAGTCCATCTCCATGAGCTCATTGTCCTCACCTGGGGCTCTGGCTCCTCTTCCTGTCTTTGTAGAAAAAATGTTAGCATGCCCAGAAGACACTTCGTAGGCATTCAAAGGAGTCTGTGAACCTTCCTTCCCATATCTAAAATGGTTCTCAGTTCCTTTAACAAATAAAAACTTCTCAAGGGAGACCAGTTATATTTGGTTGTCTGAATATACCTAAATTCTCCTATAACAACTGATACCCATTGCCATAATATTAACTTCAACCAGAGTTTTCTGGGCCCTTTCCAGGAAAATCTGCTAATGCATTTATTTGATCCTGGGTAAGTATATAACCTTCTAGTTTTGAAAAAGGTACAAAAATAACTAAAGACTAAGGTAAACTGAAAACAGTCCGAGGGTATTTTCAGCTGTAAGAATCTAAGCGTTTAGAGCCTCATTGCTAACAGCTGTAAAAATTAAGGCTTTTTACTATGGGGTTGATTGAGAAAAGTCAGTTGTCTAATTGGGCTGGAAACTATCCCCAAGCAGGGGTTGGCAAAACTACAGCCTCCTACCTGTTTCTGTAAGGCCCAAGAGGTAAGAATGATTTTTACATGTTTACATGATTGAAAAAAATTTCAACAGAAGACATATTTTGTGACATATGAAAATTATATGAAGTTCAAATTTCAGTGCCCATAAAGTTGTACTGACCACAGCCACACTCCTCCATTTATATATTGCCTATGGTTGCTTTTGTGCTACAAAGGCAGGATTGAGTAGATGAGGCAGGGACTGGGCGGTGTGTATAATCTGAAACATTGACTCTCTGTTCCTTTACAGAAAAAGTTTACTGACCCTAGCTCCCGAGGATGGCTAACATGCTCTGAGGGGCTAAGACCATCTTCCCTGGGTAGAACAAAGTTGCTCTATAGCACTATGGAGTTTTGAATTGGGGCATTAAATACCAGGTCTCATTAAATGCTAAAATTCAAAGAAGACAAGAATCATTTGTTTAACGTTAATGGCAGTCTTAAAGTGGGATTTTGTATTACATCCTCAGATGCTGTATTTGAACAATTAGAGACTGTGCTTGATACAGAAAAGACTGTTTGGTGGCACTGAAATTTGTTTAAAGATGCCTGACCCAGGACAGGGAAAAGAAAATGGGTCACCAGGTGGATGAAAAGGAACATCTGCTTCATCTATCTGAGTATCAGCTTCTTCTTCTTTTTTTTTCTTTAAAGATTTTATTTATTTGACACAGAGAGCGAAAGCACACAAGCAGGGGGAGGGGCAGGGGGAGAGGGAGAAGTAGGCTCTTCACTGAGTAGGGAAGAGCCCCACGTGGGACTTGATCCTAGGACCCGAGATCATGACCTGAGCCGAAGGCAGATGCTTTACCAACTGAGCCACCCAAGCGCCCCTGAGTATCAGCTTCTTAAATGTCTCCATGTCAAGGTAAGATAACTTTATGCGATTAAAGGAGCAGAAAAATCTCTACTAACGATATCGAAAGTGGCATGAGGTTTGGGTAATGTGGCTTTGCTTCCACAGAGTGCTTGCCATCATGGTTTGTATTTGGTTTACAATTTGGATTGGACCTGAAGCTAGAGCTCATGGTTCTACTAGGAGAATGATACGGAGAATGTGACTGACAAACATTCCTCAGAGACAAGTCAGTTTTTTCTGTCAGAGCAAAATAAAGTTATGGAACCATGCAATTTCCCCAGGTGGTACAAGGTAGACAGTAAAGTCTTCACAGTCCCTTCCTATAACACACTGTCTATGAGGAAGTAGCACATTGAGCTCACAAGAGAAAAGGACATTATAACAGAAAATGTGAAAGGAGCTGTAGGCTAGGGGATCCAAGAAAGGGCACTGAAAGCTCTGCCTTATAAGACTGAGAAGGGCCTTCTGTGAGGAAAGGAGAGTTGCGGCTACAGTCTGAAGGAGAAAGCAAAATGGATTAAATGCAGATCCAATCAGCTCAACACAACAGGGAAACAGGTAGACTAGTAATTCTGGGTGACAGAAACATATCATAGTATCTATACTTTGGAGCTGAGGATAGGCATGAACCAGAAGAGAGGCTGGTCCATTCAGCTAGCTTTCCAGAGGATGTATGTAGCTCTCACAAAAAGAAAAAAGTAAAAATGAAGCTTTCACCTTAGTTCTTCCTAAAGTCTAACTTATCAAGACTTGGAGTCAGAGCAGCAAAAGGGCAAAAATTAGAGATACCCTATGAGTCCCTAAAATAGTATTCCTTAATTAATCAGACACAATGAGCTCTTGATCTTATTTCATTAAATTTGTTTGATAATCACAGACCCCCTTATGAACAAATTCAGGCCTTTCTTTTCCTAATTATTCCTTGGATTTTCAATCCTACTGTTTATTTTACTACATATTTTGCAATTCTCAGTATTTGTATATTAGATCTGTGTCTTTTCTCTCATCATTTCTTTTTATTCTTCCTGGTTCTGAATTCTAGATGAATTTCTTGAGCTTGTTTTTCTATTTCACTAACTCAGTTTTCAGAAATATCCATTCTACTGTTCACTTACACTTTCAGTTCTAATTTATCAATCTTTTTTTTTTTTTTAAAGATTCTATCTATTTGAGAGAGAGAGAAAGCGCTTGCGCACATGCAAGCACAAGAGGGCACGAACAAGGGAGGGGACAGAGGGAGAGGGAGAAGCGGGCTCTCTGTTTCAAGAGGGAGCCCACGCAGGACTCAGTCCTGGGAGCCATGGATCATGACCTGAGCTGAAGGCAGATGCTTAGCTGACTGAGCCACCCAGTTGTCCCTATTAATCTATTTTTTTTTCTAATTTTCTTTCTAATCATCGTTACTACAATCCTTTCTGATCTCAAGTTGTTATGATTTCATGACTGATTTAGATTCACATATGCAATGTCATGTTGGCATCTGAAAATCTTTTCCTGATCTTTACTGCAGATGTAATTTAGAGAGGAATATCTCTTCTCATTCTTCAGTGATCTTCTGATCATAAGTCTTTTTACTTATTGCAGCTACCCAGTCCAGAAAAAAACTGTTGAATTTTTGTTTCTTTCAATGTTCTGTATTTTAAATTTACTAATGGCTAACCAACAACCCAGTCTCCTAAGGCAAACACTTTCTGCATTCTGTATCTTTCTTTCATTCTCATATAAATCATCCAATCCTTTCGATTTTATGAAGAAATGTTTCCTAAATCTAGCCTCTGTTCAAGTTCACTGTCACTGTTTATAGTCCAGACACATGGTCTCCATCGTTTGCCATCAGTCTCTTAAGACTCCAAATCCATCTTCCCAATTTCTGCCAGAGTTCATCCTAAAAGGCATGTTAATAACATTACCTCTTTGGTTAAAAATTTGTTCTCCATATTTATAAGGAAAATCCAGACACTCTTGGTTATCATACCATATTCTTCATAACCTGACTCTAACCTGTAGATACAGCCTATTTTTCCATACTGACCTTTTTACCTTTCAGACACATCACCTTTTTAGACTCTGTATATGCATATTGATTTTACATTTTTTAAAAGAGAAAGGACCGCCCTCTTCTCTCCAGGCGTCCTTGTGAGAGTGATATCGCGGCAATCCCTGACGCACCGCCGGATGCCCAGGAAGACAGGGCGACCTGGAAGTCCAACTACTTCCTTAAGATCATCCAACTTTTGGATGATTATCTGAAATGCTTCATTGTGGGAGCAGACAATGTGGGTTCAAAGCAGATACAGCAGATCCGCATGTCCCTCCGCAGGAAGGCTGTTGTGCTGATGGGCAAGAACACCATGATGTGCAAGGCCATCTGAGGGCATCTGGAGAACAACCCAGCTCTGGAGAAACTGTTGCCTCATATCCGGGGGAATGTGGGCTTTGTGTTCACCAAGGAGGACCTCACTGAGATCAGGGACATGTTGCTGGCCAATAAGGTGCCAGCTGCCGCCCGTGCTGGTGCCATAGCCCCTGTGAAGTCACTGTGCCAGCCCAAAACACTGGTCTGGGGCCCGAGAAGACCTCCTTCTTTCAGGCTTTAGGCATCACCACTAAAATCTACAGAGGCACCACTGAAATCTTGAGTGATGTGCAGCTGATTAAGACCGGAGACAAAGTGGGAGCCAGCGAAGCCACACTGCTGAACATGCTGAACATCTCCCCCTTCCCCTTTGGGCTGATCATCCAGCAGGTGTGTGACAATGGCAGCATCTACAACCCTGAAGTGCTTGACATCACAGAGGAGACTCTGCATTCTTGCTTCCTGGAGGGTGTCCACAGTGTTGCCAGCGTATGTTTGCAGACAGGTTACCCAAATGTTGCATCAGTGCCCCATTCTATCATCAATGGATACAAGCTGGTCCTGGCTTTGTCTGCGGAGACTGATTACACCTTCCCACTTGCTGAAAAGGTCAAGGCCTTCTTGGCTGATCCATCTGCATTTGTGGCTGCTGCCCCCACTTCTGCACCTGCTGCTGCTGCGGCCCCAGCCAAGGCTGAAGCAAAGGAGGAGTCAGAGGACTTGGACGAGGATATGGGATTTGCTCTCTTTGACTAACACCAAAAAGCAACCAATTCAGCCAAGTTTATTTGTGAGACAAGGAAATAAAGGCTTACTTCTCTTAAAAAAAAAGAGAGAATGAGAAAGGACAATGACAAGTAAAGAATTCTATAATTTTCAGCAATCCTACAGTAGGGAGGACAAATAATCCGAAGTACCTAAGGGGAATTTCTGAAGGAAGTAGGTACAAAAACTTGTCTGCAATCATATCAATCTGTGAGAGTCTTTAAAAATAGAGATACTCAACACCTACCCAGGTTTGCTCAGTGAATAAGAACCTCCAGAGACTTGCCCTTAAATTCATACTTTTCAAAATCTCCACAGGTGATTCTGCTGCAAGGCCAACTTTCACTGTTTAAAGGCCTAATCCAAAATGCCATCACTAAGAACCTCACATAGCAACTAATTTGTTCCCAGAAGTGAAATAACGAAAGTTTCAATAAACTTACCTAAGCGAGTTCATCTCTGTCTTCCGATGAGATGAGTCACCAGCCACATGGCTAAGTTTTTGAGCTTGGAGTTTTGCTTTGTTCTCTAATGACTCTACTGTTTCTTTCATTATTAACACTTTAGACTTTAAATCACATTTTTCACCTTCAAGCTATAATTTAAATTAAAAAAATTAATAGATGTCTCAGTTTTGTCTTCCTTCAGCACTCTTTAATATTTCTAGAGAAAAACTAAGGAAATAAATTATATTTAACAATACTTTAAAAGTCATGTGTACAGTGTAGGTTCTAGATGTCAGAATGGGCATACACATTTATTCCTCCTTATCAATATCAGTGAAATGAAAAAAAAAGGCTACAAAATAAAAAAAAAACAAGAAAGGAAGAATAGAATATAAGAATATATCCATATATAAAAGAATATATCCATAACAGCAGTGAAAAAAGGAAGGGAAACAATTAGTCAACAGAGCAAACATTGTGAGGAATTTCTAAAAAACAGTAAGTACATAGGACTAAATTAAAGAAAAATCAGAGCAGAAAATACTGTAACCCAAACAAAAAATGGGTAAGATTTAGATGAAGACACAAAAATTTTCCTGAAAGACATAAAACACAACCTGATTTAATGTAAAGACATAACACGTTTCTGAATGGAAACACAATATTGGAAATGCATTAAAAGTTCCTGAAATAATCGTAAATTCAATGAAATTTCAGTAAGAATCCTAACAGAACCTTTTTTAAATAAGGAAGGTGGCTCAGAATTCATTCTAAAGTTCATTTAGGAAAAAAAGAAAACAGGAAAAATTGTGGGGGATTTATGAAATATCAGAATAATTTACAAGCGACTATTAAACAGTGTGGATTTCAAATGAATGAGCAAATACAAGTACACAGATGTAAATTTAGAAAAGGTAGAATTTTAAAGGATGTGGGAAAAGAAAAAGCTCTTTAAAAACAGAGTTGGGACAGCCACTCATTGAAGAAAAAAAACCAGATTTCCATTTTATTTTATATACAAAAATAAATTCTAAATGGAATGATATGTATGTACAACTCAAAATCAAGAAAAACCAAGCGCCTGGGTGGCTCAGTCGTTAAGCGTCTGCCTTCGGCTCAGGTCATGATCCCAGGGTCCTGGGATCGAGCCCCGCATCGGGCTCCCTGCTCAGTGGGAAGCCTGCTTCTCCCTCTCCCACTCCCCCTGCTGTGTTCCTGCTCTCGCTATCTCTCTCTCTGTCAAATAAATAAATAAATCTTAAAAAAAAAAAGAAATATTTGTGTTAAATACAAGTCTTCCAGTTAAAACTGTAGACTGACTATACATATTTGATCTTCCCTCCCACTTGAATGATAGTAAAGGAATAGAAAGTTACACACTCATAAGGACATAGAAAACAACAGTGGATAAGTGATGTCAATAACTCGTGGAAGACAAAGAGTAGATGGAATAGGGATGCCGAGGGGAAGGATACAATCTAAAGCAAAGCTTCTGAACCTAGGAACTACTGATATTGGGGACCGGATAATCCTTTGCTGTGGGAGGCTGACCTGTGCATTGTGCACTGTAGGATGTTTAGCAGCATCCCAGTCTCGTGAGTAGGCAAGACCCTCTAGTAGAATTTCTAGGTATGAAAAGCACTTTTTCCCCTAGTTGTGTCAACCGCAAATTCTCCAGGTATTGCCAAATATCTCCTAGGAGGCAGAACTGACCCCAGTTGAGGAACATTGATCTAAAGTAACCACAGTTAGCAACTAGCTGATCTGCCTTGAAGAAACTCAACACATGAAGGCACCAGGTGGTGGGCTGGGGTCAAGAACAGAACAAGGAGACTGGCTGAAAATCTATACTGGGAGCATCACACCCCAGAGAGCTCCTACCTCTTTCTAGAAAATTCTCCTGGAAACCAAAAATATAACTAAATTTTAAAATAAATCAATAGAAGAGTTAGAAGATAAAGTTAAGGAAATCTCCCAGAAAGAACAAAAAGTCAAAGAGAAAATAAGGGAGAAAGGATAAGAACCTTAGATCTCTTTAGGAGGTCCAAAACCAACTAATACAAGTTCCAGAAAGGTGCCTGGCTGGCTCAGTAGGTAGAGCATGTGACTCTTGATCTCGGGGTCATGAATTCAAGCCCCATGCTGAGTGTAGAGCTTACTTAAAAAAAAAAAAAAGAGTTCCAGAGAGAGAAAAGAGAATAGTACAGTAAATTACCCAAGAAATTGAAAACAAGAAGGAGGAAATTATAAAAGTTTTCAGAAAGAAAAACATGTACAAAGGACTAGTATATAGAATAGCATCAGACTTCTCGAAGAAAGTTAAGAGACAATGGAAGACAGTATTCAAAATTTTTAGGGAAAATAATTTTCTAATCTAGATTTCCATATACCAAGCCAAATCATAAATCAATTATGAAATCTGAATAAAGACATTTTCAGACACGCAGTGTAACAAAAAAATCTCCTCCCATGTACTTTTTTCCAGGAAACCACTGGAGAAGGTGCTACACCAGAATGAAGGAAAGAAAACACGAGATTCAATACAGGAGAGGGGGACAGAGAAATTCTGAAGAGGAGGACATAGTCCACAATGGACAAGATGATGGAAAGCTCAAGAAAGGAAGTCTTCAGTGGGAAACAACAGAACTGATAGGTTTGGGCATGTGGTAGAGATATTGGAGTTCTTGACAAAAATTAGCAATGGGTTTAATGAAAACAGAAAAGTAACAAAAAATAAAATGAAACAAAACAAAAGCAATTATTACTTCCAGGAAAAAGATCTGTAAGAGAAAAGGCAAGAGTAGTACTATCTGATTTGGCTGACCCATGGGCCACTAGAAGTCATAATAATATAAATAGTTACTACTAAAGTAAGTATAATATGTAATAAAACTATGTTTGAAGTAATGGAGGAAGAAAAAGGGAAGAGTGCCAAGTCATCATCTAACATCACAGATACTCAATCTTGAATCGATAAAGTAAGACAAGTAAGACTAAGCAGTCAGAAGCACATTATTTAGAAACAGGGAGGAATTAGAATTGTGGGTAGTAGTTTCGGGGATAAAGAGGTGGGAAATGAAACTGGGTGTTTTTTGCATTAAAAATCTCTAAAATTCCCTGGGTATACCTTGTACAAACAAGAATATATGTATAGTATAAAGAACAACAACAACAAAAGTTACCTGGCTTAAAAATGTTACCTATTACCTGAACCATGAAACTACTTGGGAGCAGTCTCCAATCACCAATTACATCCCCCAAACCCTGCCACAATAACCACTACCATGAGTCTCATGTTTCTCATTTCTTACTTTTTTGTTAGTGTACCATATCTGTATGAATCCCTAAATAATATATAGTTTAGGTCTGTATATTTTTGAACTCTACACAAGTAGAATCATACTGCATGTTCTTTGACACTGTATTTGTAAGATTCAAGCACACTGATGTTTGCAGCTACTGCTCACTCATTTTCACTGCTCTGTAATACTTCACTGTACGAATTATTACCACTATTTCTCTATTTTCCTCATAACTGACATCAAGATTGTTTCTTGTTTTCTACCAGGGAGTTAAGTATTTTAGGCTTTGTGAGCCCTGTGGTCTGCTGCCACCACTCCGTGGTAACATAAAAACAGCCACAGGCAATGTGTAACAAATGAACATGGTTGTGTTCCAATAAAAACTTTATTACAAAGACAAACTAAAGGCCAGATTTGGTCTGGGGGCAACAGTTTGCTGACTTCCAACCAGGGTTCTTACCTAGAAATGGATTTGCTGGCTCACAGAATATGCCTTTGCTAGGCAATGCCAAATTATCCTCCAAAGAGGTACCAGTTTGCATTCCCTGGCCCTACATATATTTGCTAAATTTGTGTGTTATAACTTGTTAATTTCTTTTTTTAAATTTTTTTTAAAGTAATCTGTACACCCAACATGGGGCTTGAACCTACAACCCTGAGATCAAGAGTCACATGCTCTACTGACTAAGCAAGCCAGGCTAACTTTTTAATTTCTGATGCCCTGATGGATGTGAAATGTTTTTACTATGATTTTAATTTGTATTTCCTCTATTACTGATGTAGAACACCTTTTTATGTTTATTAGCCATTTGTAATTTCTTCTGCCATGAAGTGTCAATTCATATCTTCTGTAAGTTTTTTTTTAGGTTAAATGTATAGCAAATCCTGTTAGTGGCCTGTTTTTTCAACTTATGGCTATTTGATGAACAAAGAAGTTCCTGTCAATATAGTCCTATTTATCTCCGTTTTCTTTCATTTGTGTTTAGGAGCTTACATTCTGGCAACAGACACTTGCTGTGTGATGTTAGGCAAATTGTTCCCCCCTCCCTCTCCGCCTCAGTTTATGTATGAAATAAGGATAATATTAGCCTTTACTTTATACTATTGTTATCAGAATTAAAATTATATAAAATGTTGAGAAAGTGCCTCACACAAAGTAAATGCTATACAAATTGCTATTATTATTATTTCTCCAAGGTCAAAAAGATTTTCTCCTGCTGGACATGGAGCTCAATATGGGGTGTGAACACGACCTGAGATCAAGACTTGAGCTGAGATCAACAGTGGACCTTTAACCACTGAGCCACCCAGGCGCCCC